TGACCTAGGTCGACGTCAGGCCAACCACGTTACCGTCGGCCTTGTTACTCAAACAGTGAACAAGCTGCTCTTATCACCAGGAGCGGAAGACACGCGCACTTTCCAAGCGCTTGCTGTCTCAGTCTCCGCTGCTCTCTGTTACCTGTTGTTAACCGGAAACAACCTACTTCTGTGGCGAGGGACTAATCTCCGCCACAGCGTCCACCCCCAATAGGATGCATGGCACGAGGACACGCTTGGCTAATATTCTGTTAACACAATGATCCTCGTTCTGTTTTTTTGTTACCGTTTTGTATTGGCCTTTTACGGGCGCCACCTCCTCCGTCTGCATCTGGACGCGCGTTGCATCTTCATGTTAACATCGCCTTCCCTTACATTTACCAATATTTGTTTAGTAAATGAGCCAACGCGACTGGCGATTCGCCATGAGAAGCTGTGGGCCGGGGATGGGTGTCGGGTTGACAGAGAGGGCCGTGGGATACAAACAGGTCAGTGAAGGCACGCTGTGGTCCTCCAACTTATAAGCTGGCAACGGGACTAAACGTCGCAGAGCTCCTCGGCTCTTTCAAAAGAGAACTTTTGTTTAGGGCTGAAGAGATATTTGGTTATAGAACCAGCAGGACGATCGGTTTCATACAAAAACCAATACAACCTATCTAAGCACATTGCAAATAATAACACAACACATACAGTCATTATTACAAAATATAACACACAAATGAATAAATCTTTATTGCATTTGCTATCGCGCTCCGAATGGTTCAGGAGCTAGACAGACGGATGTGAAGTGCTTAGAAAACATAAACAAGCAAAGAACAAACACTCTCCGGGATCAGGGGACCCCAAACACGGGCGGTCAGTTGGGAACCCGGCTCGATGACTGATCTTTCCGCTGCATTCCATCAACTTTTCCTCATAGACTACGCTAAATATTACCTAGCCGGTATATGCATACCGTACGTATACGGGAAAGTAAAATGGACCCATTGTTTTAGTTTTAATAAATTAGTATACGTGTTGAATGAATATGTATGGCGTGCGTTGAAATGGGTGTTCAAATTTGTTATTATTTTTTTAATAAATAATAATATGTATAGTGATGATCGCATAATATTAAGTCAAGTTTTTGGGGTTGAAAGTTTTTATATTAGCCTGTAATTCGTATATAAGTAGTTTTGTTTTATTCATTAATTTTATGTTTGTCAGCTGGCGCCGTTTACTTCCCACAGTTGGCTGAATTATTGTTAGTCAGAGGAAAACTACAAGAGCTCTTACAAGTTTGGGAATGAGCATTTAACTAGGCGCATGTTACTAGCTAACTATATTCGTTGCTGTAGTTAGTTGGTGGTCAGCAGCTTTATGGACGTCCGATTACTATAACATTGCTCTATCAACTATATGATAGACAACAAGGCAGTAGAAAGTTGTCGTAAACTACAAAAAACATTTATTGTTGGGTGTAAATATATTAATTTAAGTGGAAATATTTATGCTTTGCCGTCCTAATGAATAGTGTTTATTTTTTCAGACCTATTTTAGTCAATTAATATGGCAATGATCCGGCGACTTCATAAACATAATTTTGACTAATATAGATTTCAAACCCTAAGCGCTTTTCCTGAAAAAGGTCACCTTTTTTTTAAGTGTACGGATA